GTTCTCCCAACATGGATTCTCTTGTTGACGAGACAGCAGTGCATTCTCGTCTTCCTGCTCACAACCCCTACAAAGAGGTGTTTCCCACTACCTCCTGTTGTGAAAGTGCTTCCTTAGCCAACAGTGTCCAGTTCGAATACCTGTCACCAAGCGAAGATTTGACCTAGACATGGCCAGGTATTTTTTGGCTGTAGTCTTGCTAGGGTGTTCTAGGAACTCCTTAGAAAATTGACAGCTATTTGTTTCATCCCGCCGTTTCATAAACTCTTCTTGGTTGTTTTCCTTAATAATTTCAACAAGTGCTGACAGCGGAAGCACACTGGAGGGACCAGGTCCGGAAATATCGAGCCCCGATGTACTCCTGGCTAGGTTGTCAGCTTATTTATTGCCATTGCACCGCTCTTGGCCCTTGATCCAGTATACAAACATGCTGTTGGAAACTGAAGCCACGATCAGTGCCTGGTGACATTCTCATGTGATCTAGCCGTTATCTTGTTATTACGTAAGATCAGCAACGCTTGTCAAGCATGGCTGTCAAGACCATTTCTCTTAGATAGATATTCAAAGGTGGCAGACAGAGCATTACTTCATTGCTATGGTGGGTGTTGTTCGCATAGCCTGGCATGATGTCTTATAATCAGTACAGTTTAACTGAATTGGCCGACATGCGTTTGGTATACGGAGAATGTAGATGTAATTCTTTAGAATTAACAAGGCCATATGCGGAAAAGTTTCCGAATCGATAAGTTCCTCATTCCAGTACTTTTGCTGCAATTGATCAAGGGTTTTTATGGCTGATACTAGAGAACACGCTAGTCCACAGTCAGTATTGACTGTAGATATGGAAGAAACCGTTTTAAATACCATTGAAAAAATCCGCACATAATTGTGCTGCTGAATTTACTGCCTGCCAGGTCACCCGACCTGAACCTTTTAGATTTTTATTTTTGACGATGTTTTAAAATAAATTTGTACCAAATTTCATTAAAATTTCCGAGAACGGAAATAAAAGTGACAATAAAAATAAAATAATCGGTTTATTTTCTTCGAAATTTGTCTCATTCGCTTCCGAACTTTCTGTGTATTATTTTTAAATTAAAACGGTTTTGTTCTTCCGAACTTCCATTTGATTTCAAAGGTGTATTTTCTTTTACAAAAATATACGTATCTACAGATAATTGTGATTCTTTCGGTCGGTGACGTAGAAATTTTGATTTTTTGAAATATGACAAGGGTAAATCCTCAAATCCTTTATATTGCATATGCGATAAAGAGTCCATAATTTTTTAATGAAACGAACAGATTTAGAATTATTTTAAATACTTTTTTAGATTTAATTTAGATTAAAAAAAAAGATAAAACTCGAAAATGATTTGTTTTTTCGAATAAAACGAATCATTTTTCTTTGAATGGAATGCGCTTCCTACAAATTCAGTAGCGTTAAAATGTTGGGATTCTCACTGAAGGTGTCTTTTACTAACTCCGCCACTGACAATCGAATCGAAAACTATGCTGCTAGTGACATAAGTTCAAAGAACTGAGGAGCACCCTGTACATCTTTCAATATCGTCTGACAATAACGCCTATTAATTTTTATTGCCGATAGATTTTTTTATTGTTAATTTACTTGATATTAAATATTTACCATTTTATGATACGTCACGTAACATCAATAATCTATAAATGGCACTCCCTGGATTTCAAATGTAAAGCCTACGTAGAATAATAAAATGCATGTTGACTATGACATCTGTATTATTAAGGACTAAAACTATCGATAACATGAAACTTTACTTTGGTTGTTTTAAGGCTTGCTTTATGCCTAGGGTTAGTAATTTCTGCAGAAATAGTTTGTTTTGATAGAATAATTGATTACAATTGAATTGAATTGAATTTTAAAAGGGTTTTTTAAATTCCCCGGAATAATGATACTTTAATTTTACCTGAAGCTAGCAAAAATAAATTTTCTACACAAATATTGACTTTAGATAATAAGATTATGAGAGACAATTAATTTTTACTTACAAAGAAAAACTTTGGATATCGTGCTCTATTTATCTGTAATAGGATTAACACCCAATATATTTTTCAATTATTTATAATATGTGTGACAATGTCAAAATTATGAATTCTTGTATATCGTTAAATTTGCTTAAATAGTCATTTAAGATCAGAAATCAGGTCGTGAATAGATCAACATTGTTTTCTTATTCTCGATATCACTTGTCGCCCTGTGACACGTGCCAGAGGAAATCTTATTTAGAAGCAACTAAAATAAATTTAGAATTTATTGTAACAAGTTTTTACTTTGTTCTAGCATACCTTAATTTCCTTGGATTTATAATCAGTACAAAGATTTTTTTTCATAAATGCTATTATTTCGAAAACTTTGATGATATCCACAATTTTTGGGGCCAACATGAATTTATTGTATTGCGTATTGTATTGAATATTTATTGTATAAACTTCATAATAAAATTTTTACCATAAGAAAATTAGAATTAGGGGGTAGAATATATACATTTTTTTATAGACTTTACTGTAGCCATAATAAATTATGTTTATCTTAATAACGGTATCTTCAGAAGTTATAACATTACTTGGTGAAGAGCTTCAAACGGGTATATAGAAATCTGAAATTAACATAACTGTTAATTTATTATTTAATCAATTTACAGTGTCACAAAAGACGGACAACTTATCTTCATAAATTCAATCTTTTCATGTCACTGCAAAGAAAATATGAAAAATGTATCCGTTAGCAGTTAATTAGCTGTTCTTACATTAGTAAAAATGTCCCGCAATATACATACATTTGTAAAGACCAAACGCGCGATTGTAATTCATAGGCGTTCCCAAGGGAAATAGAAATAATAATAAAGATAATAGTTCTATAAAAAAAAACTTAGTTTTAAATAATTTTTCATTCTTGATACTCTTTTTTTCCTGTTCTTTTTATTTTATTATTCACCAGTTGTGAATGAACAGAGCCGTATTTAAAAATTTTACAGTTCGAAAATCGTATTATATAAAATATGATTCGTCTCGAGATACAGTGTTTAAATTTAAATTATTTATTTATTTTTGTTAATTATTTCAGAGTTTTTTAAAGCTATTGACTCGAAATTTGATGGTTATATTTTATTTAGAAATATTGACAGCCTACTAGATAATGCAGTAGAAATGAACAATACAGAACTTGCAATAAAATATATTATTTTTTTCCTCAAAAACAGTGCATCCTACGAAAAAAATTGAAGAGACCAATTTCATTCAGAACTGATGGCGGATATCTTAAAAAAATAACAAAACGGGAAAAAATCAGTGGCATACCATTTTTTTTATTAAAAAAGTTGTGGCATTCTCGCACGAACGCCACTGGTGCAAGTAGAAATATTCGGATCACCCCAAAATACGGACGATTATTCCTCCAAAGCGTTTTTCAAATTTCAAGTCAATATCTTTAAAACTCTGAAATAAATTAATAAAAATAAATTAAAAAATAAAATTTGAACACTCGGAAACGAAACATATTTTTACCTACGTTTATATGAACTTTTTTTCACAAAATAACTTCGGCAACCGCGCCCTAAAATATTTAGCACATTTACAATCACCCTGTATACCCATAGTTATATTTTTTAAACTTTAATAATAAAATAAAAATAAAATAATAAAAGCTTGTATATTCCTAATATAAAATATATTTACCATACAGCTTTAATGTCAAAAAATTTCAAGGAGGATGATATAAAAATAATTTTTGAGGATTTTCTCAATATTTAAAACATATTCTTCAACAATTTGATGTAAAATATATTTACACCAATTATTAGAGTAATTTATAATCCTTTATTAAAGACTAAAGTTTTAACAAATTTCCTTGTAATCTCAAAGAAGAGTATAAAAAAAGTGTAATTTGTAACTGGAACACCCTGTATACAGTGTAATCCATTGTAAATAGAAACACCCTTTGTAAAAGAGATGTTCATTGGTCCGATATTAATGAGATTTGAATTTATTTTGAGTTCTTGAAACCTATTTAATATTTTTTTCTTTCTGAAATTCCCTATAACCTATAACACGTTGCCACTAAAAATAACGAATAAACTACATGAAGTGATTAGAAAAAGATCACGGTGTAGTGATAAAACTGTAAACAACTCTTAATAATGTCAGTATTTTTAAATTATATGTTTATCGCGAGGAAGAAATTCTTATTACGGCCCTGATCAACGCTTCTCCATTCAAGGACATAGAAAACGACCAAGTGAGATCAAAGTACCGATAAGGGAGTAAATCTACTGGTTTATGTTAAAATTTCCCAAATATAGATTGATATAATTGCACCTTATAGATCCAAGTCTTCAAATTATTATTATTTCTACTCCGAACATCTTGATAAATGAATTTATCTGGAGGCAATCATTTGCAAAGATCCGTTACGAGTAATTCTAGATCAATTTTTAAGAGTCTATTAGAACGTGAATAAATTATTACACAACATATTCCGAAAACCATGTTAGATATCGTTAACAACGGGTATTAAAATTTGTTTGCTGTTACGTTTTAGTACTTGCACCTAATAAAATTCCTTCGATAAACGTCAATAAATACTATGACAAATGTAAATTAGCGTCACGTTACGACGAATAATTCTTGGTAACGATATGTTACCAGCAATGGAAACTAACTTTTCTAGCATAAGAAAGATCTCTAATATTATTCTTTATTTGGAGAAGTATTTTTATCAGTGGGCAAAACTAATAAAAAATATAAACATAGATACTCGAAATGAGGGAATAATAAAATTTACATAGCAAAAATGTTTCCATAAATGAATAATTTGTTTAAAATTATAACAATGACTAATCTGATAACAGGAGCAGTTAAAAAACAGTTTACACACATTAATCCGTTAGCGAAATCAACCTGTTAACAAATAGTATGTAAAAGATAAGGTGCCGACAGCATTTCTTTATCTGTATTTACAAAAAAGGAGATACTCTGTTTCTACAGAATTGTTTAATTGTACCAAAATATGTCATGTCGTTGACATTACATCGACGATGTTTTGTGATTACGTTTCCGTAAAAAAATATTGTTTCAGCGGTAAGTATTTATATAACTTCTATTAAAACATCCTGTAGAATAGTATTTTATAGAATAAATATCTTCATTAATTTATAGATAAAAAATTGTGGGTCTACAGATAAGTTGTTATTTATGTTCGGGCAAAAACGTTTTTATTAACGAGATTTTAATAGCTTTTGATAAAACATGATACACAGGACAACACAATTTAGTTAAATATTATAGAACTACCGTTTAAGGAAGAAAAATAATTTACACCATTTACTTTTCCAATATTGCTAATTCTTAATATGACTATGATCAATTTGGGGCATGTGCTTAAGCGGTTGTAAACAAGATCAATATTATGATTTCATCAATTGAATTTGATTACAAATATGTCAACTAATGCCAGATTTTTCTTATACCACTGAATATTTTAAAAATTCCGTCGGACCTTTCCTAGTAACATTTCTCTCTCAATATTTTTGCCACTGCTAGACATATTTGTACTGTATAAACCAAAAGTTTTACTCTGTTGTCGGAATTTTGATCCCGACTGGTATAAACTTAAGTATAAACTTAGTTTCATCGATGTACATTGACCATCCTCAGACACTTTTATTAAATTCCAGACTCCGATCGGATACCTATAGCTTTAGATCTTTTTGGACCTATAAAATAATACAAGGTGATTCAAAAATGAAACCACGTATTCTTTGGTGAATTTTAAGGGGAATCTTTCGTATAAAGTTTTTATCTGGGACGCTTCGTTAAAAAGATGCAGGGTGTTTAACTTCAAAAAATATTTTTAAATTTTTATATAATTTAAAAACTAGTAAATGAAATATTTTGAAATTGGGCACATGTACTTATGTAAACAAACTTTATACGAAAGAATCTTTCCCTTAAAATTTACCAAAGAATATGAAGTTTCATGTTTGGTCACCATTTGTGATTAAAGCTGAGGCTTGGAATAAAAAAAATACCATGTATAAACGTAAACGTAAGTTTAAACATTATACAGGATTTATTGATATTATGAAATGCCGTAATTACCACAGCTTTCGAATGATTTTACATGATTGTCCTTACAGGAAAATGGTAAAACAATGGTGGCCAATATTATTTATAATTTACAATGTCCAAGGAATAAATATTACAAGCATTGTAATAGACCAACAGGTGGCAAGTTACACAGAAGCGGTTACTTACGAGATCAATGCTACCTACCAAGTGGTTCTTTTCTACCCTACTATAGAGGTAAGTTGCATAATTTTTTTTTAATTTAAAGATTATATATCCTTAACAGAAACATTAATAATTACCAATAACTATCTATATTTCATTTTCATCTAGGCAATTTACAAATTCAAAAATGATTTTTCCATTCTTTTGTCGAAAACTAATATCAATGATTAGCCGTAAATTCCGAATATATTATCATTGAGTGTAATATTTATAAAGATAACAAACCATGTCTCCATGTCATAATAATTGATTACGATCCGAATTATGACACACACAAGTTTATATTCTGGAATAAACTAATGAAAAAAATTACTTTTTCTATTTCTTAAGCAGGTAATAATTTAATTATTTTACTGAAAACAAAAGTTTGCGAGTTTATTTATAAAGGGTCATTCACAACTTATCCGAAAAAATTTGGGAATAGATGGGTCTTGAGAAATGGAGTCGATATCGCAAAAAAAAATTATACGACAACTGACATTTCTAATCTATCTTTTTTTAATGTGCTCTAATGTGTTTTCTTGCATATTTCTAAGTTCATTTGCAAATATAAGAGTTGGCTTTGGAAGTCTAGCAAAAAAATAATTTTATGATTTTTATGTCGATTATTAATGTTCAAAATTTTACATTTTGTTTTTAATCAGAATTTATTTTGTTGGCAAATAACAATAGAGATGATAGATTTAGCAGTAAGAACTGGTAACAAAATAAATAACAATAGGAGCAAAACAAACTAAACTACAAAAGGTAATCCATATTGATATTATTAAAATTCACAAACATTCTTGTACAAACCTCTTAAATTGTCCATGTTCTAATATTAAAAAAGTAAATTCTCTAAAATATTTAGGAATAATGATAGATCAATTTCTACGATGGGCTGAGCATGCTGAATACACTGTAAAAAAATTAAGAAAACTCAATTACAAATTTTACCAATTAAGGGACATTCTGGATAGAAAACATATATTTATTGTTTATGAGGCGCTAGCAGTGTCTGTTTTAAGAACTGTATGGGGTGGTTTATGTAAGTCATTGATCCATAGTTTAAATGTTGTACAAAATAGTATATTGAAAATTATGTTAAAAAAAAATAAGATTTATTCAACGGAAACTTTGTATAAATAAGCCAATGTCTTTAAACTTAGAGAATTGTTTGTTTATCAATGTTTAATACGAGTATTTAGTATTGGTATTCCTTATATTTCCCATCCCCATAACACTCGTTCTTTGGCCAATATTAATACAGTCATCCCCCGTTGTAAAAAGAGTCACTTTCAAAAATTCTTATCTTATTTGGGTCCGAAACTATTTAATGTATTGCCTAAAAGAATAAAAAGTATTTCAAAAAAGTCGGTTTTAAAAAAGTCATTTATAATTGAAAACTACGCTTTATTTGAACCCATTTTTGGTTATATAGGCTTTAAGTGCACACTTCTGCGTCCCCCCTTATATTTTACGTAAAATAATATTTTATTACTGTTTTTATAGTCTAAACATTGATTTTTTTAAATTTTTTTTTGTCTTTTCTTTTATTTTTCTTTCTTGTTGTATAGTGGAGTGAATCGCACAACACATGTTTCACTTAGGTGCGATTCATGCTACTTATGTTTAATTACTTTGTTTTATAATCGAAATTTATTCCTGTATTAATATTTTATTACTTACACGCAACAAAATAAACAAAAAAAAAAAAAAATGAAGACCATTAATTTCAGTAGGTGCATAAAGTTATCCTTTTATTTAAAGATCACAGAATTCTTGTTATTATTGACAAATAATAAAATTAACTAACTGGAGTGGAACACACTAGCTGTTTCAAATGACCCCATAAATAAAAATCGCACGGATTGAAGTCTGCTGATCAGATGGGCCATGCAATTGGACCATTTTGATCAATCCACTAGGAAACTGTTACTGTTGACTTAACTAATCTCGAATGATTTGAAATTTACTGCAAATCTTCGCAATACCCAGTTAAAAGAATGTAGTTATAATATTATTCCTGAGTTCCTGAGATTGTAAAAGTTGAACTTTTTCTACATGTATGGGTATAACAGCTATTCTTCTAAAATCCTCCAAACTGAATATTTTGATAGATTATATTGTGAGGTTGGTCTATGAGAGTTGGTTCCAGAATTATTCGCAAGATTCTCCAAAAGTGCATCTTCAATTTCGCAGTACAATTATGTTGTCAGTTTACTTTTAAAAAATCCGTAATCCTAAAGTTCCTGAACAACATAATGTACCTATTTGGTATAAATGTAGGCGGCCCGTTAGTGTTATTTTAATGAATAAAAATACTGGACGAATAAGTAAGATTCTGAAAAAAATATTAGATAAAAGTTATTATGTGGTTAAAATTTTGGCACTGATTTCTGAGATAAAAGTGGAAGGGCATTAACTGAGACCCTCGGACACTCATACTGAGCTTTGAATTTGAAACACACAATATAGAACGATTATTTTTGAAGATACAAAAGGCAGATGTATCGAGATTACACGTATCAGATAACAGATAATAAATATTTGTTTGTAATGCTGTTTAGGTATATTTAACTTAATCTCATTGATTATAAAACCGTTTCCGGCGAATTTTTTCTTGGATTATTAACCGTAAATCAGTTACTTATAGGTATATAGATTGTATCAACAGTTCATAGAATGGGAATAATTGAGCAACAATAAATACAGATAAATTATTGAATAGCACCTTAATTTATTTTCGCTGCTTCAACAAATGCATCCTTATTAAAAATATCTTTCGTATGAAATTATGCGGTTTCTAACTAATGTGTTTTACTTTTTAGACACCTAACCCCTTTAGAGTTAAAGCATGGTCCCCAGATGCCCAGGCAAATTTGCCGGTTCTAGTCGTCGTCCAGCAGGAAAGTAGCGTGACTTCGTGGCAGGTCCCCTTGATGGTGGAGACGTCCAGAAGGGACTACGTTTTAAAGTTTTCCAACACGTCCAAAACTATGTGCCACGATCAGATGGATTCCATCGTCAATCCAGGTAAAAAAAAAGATACTCCACTGTATACAAGAGGGTCACAAACAAATCAAGCTACAATTTTTACTATTTCTTAGGCCGGTTTTTTCATCTCCAGATAAAGATTCAATTCACAATTAAATTTACTCGACAGTTGAAGAAAAATTGTAATGTACATTTTCCTTTCAGATTTTTCAACGGGGGACCTGACGGTGGCCCAGAGGTTCATCGTGGGCTTGTCAACGTCTTCTCCACACACCGTGAGCATCAGCATAGAGATGGAAGAGGAGAAAGACTTCTACGTCGAACTGGATAAAAGTTATTCCGTATCGGTGTCGCCTAGCGAACCCAGATACGTCTTTTATAAATTCCTGGAAGATGCGCCGGACATAGTCATCGTCGACGTCGATTCTGAAGACGACATATGCCTTGTTGTGTCTGTTCAGGACAGCAGGGTGAGTTTGTCTTCGTATTATCTCGGGAAAGGTCACAGCTGGAGACCCGAGGAAATTTCTGTGTTTCTTGTTTTGACGCATACAATTAAAATGGTCTTATATAAACGAAATTACTACGTCTCGAAGCTCTTGAAGCACATATTTTGAAGGGATATTATACGAGTATAATACGTCACAAAAATCTAACAGTTGTTGCTAAATTGGAAACTGTAAAAAATTCGAGGATTATTTTGAAAAATAAAATATTGAAAATAACCCCAGAAATCGATAAAGCAAACAATTTTAAGCAAATAGTATCTTATGAACATTTTCGATAAGGCAATATTTTCCGAGTTATTGGCTGGTTGAAGATAATTTCATGTCCGCCATAAACTAAATAGGAAACATTTAACGTAAAATAACTAAACAAAGTTCTGTTTTTCAAGAAAAATGCCCAGAACATTTTTAAAGTACTTTAAAATGAACTTGACTTTAAGTCAGTAGCATAAAAATTAACAGAGGTATGATCAAAATAAAACTTTTAATTCGCTTTTTCGAAAAAAAAAATCAGTACAGAAACTGATGAATTTTTCACAATTCTACAATTTACATTTTCTATGTGCTAACAATATATTATACAAGTTTAAGCGGTTTAGAATGCACATTTTTGAAAATATTACGTTTTGTTTGAAAAAATATTTTTTTTAATTCCAAAAAAATAACATACTTTTGAAAATAACTCAAAAATAAAAAACATGCGAAAAATATTCAAGAGTACAAAAGTTTAGATTTTTTTTTCGCAGAATATTTTGTTTTTGATTTGATTGATTGATTGATTGTTGTATTATAAACAGGTAAAATAATTTAATTTATCCTGTTTGTACTATCAAATCATTTCAAATTGTTAAAAACAATTTTTTAAAATATTTTGTTATTAGGGGTAGTTTTTTAAGGGTTGAAATATTGTAATAAAGTATTTACACGGAACTATTGAAAAGATTTTTATTTATAATAGATGCGCTATAAAAATATTTTAAATTCAAAGAAACTATTAATTTTATATTTTTATCATTAAGGGTGGATTTTAAGGGTTGAAACTTTATAAAAATAACGTAAATTATAACCCACGATATAAAACAATATTTATTATATACAGGGTGTTTCATGATTAAGTCGACAAACTTTAAGGAGATATTCCTCATAAAAAAATAAGAAAAAAATCAAGTATACATTTTTTCCAGAGACGCTTCATTTTTGAAATATAGGGGCGTTAAATATTTTTAAGAAAATTCGAATTTTTTAAATAACTTCTAAATGAAGAAGGCTATTTAAGCCAAATTTGGCATGACACATCTTCTTATAAGATACCATTTTTCCATATTTTCCATACAAATAGAGGTCCCGCAAGCAACCAGTGGCGGAGTTATGGGGACTCAGACTCATTAAATTATAAAAAAAAATAATACGGCCCTACTGAAAATAAAAAATGATGCTGTTTTTAGATAGAACAGTTTGTTATTGACAAAAAGTGTACATTCACTTTTTTCCTAACTCTTTGCCATCTTATTTTATTTAAAAGTACAACACAAGTAAATTAAGTGACTAAAAACCGCCTGAAAAAATTTAGGAGTATTGCAAGGGTCGTTACGTTGTCGCATTACGACATAGTCACATTAGATTAGGTACTTAAATATTTCTATTGTTTTCATCAACATCATTTTTTTTCTAAAAAGACACCCTATATCTCAAAAACGAAGCATCTCCTAAATAATTTTAATACTATTGGTTAAACCCAAGGGAAGGGGAGACAAAAAGGCTTATTTGACTCACAAATACTGGAGACTAAGACCAATTTTAATAGGTACTATATTTTTTTAGGTTTTATAAGGAACGTCTTCCCAAAATTTATCGACAGAATCCAGAAGCACCCTTCCGAAAAATCAATTTTGCCATGAAGCATATTATAACTTTTCATCTACAGGGTGAATAAGCTTAATTCCAAATTTTCATAAAAATCGGATCTATCCCAAAGTATTCGGAGGTTTTACCCTATTTCTCTCTTCGTTCCCTGGACTATTGATATAATTTCCCCATTTTAGAAACAATTGTGTCAATATTGAAATTACCGGGATTATTAAACTAGTTATTATTGAATTAATATATCTATGAGGATTTACTAACAATAAACTTTTTCACCAACGTTTCAAAATGAGTTGTAAATTTAATGCTATTTTTTCTATTCCAAAATTAATTTTTTCACATTTTTACAGTGCCCAGTGTTTGATACGAATAAGGATATAAAATACGAGGGAGTTTACCAGACAATCAACCTTAAGGGAGCTCTTACAATAACGGTGAGTGTATTTATTAGTTTAAGTATATCAGACTATATCAGGCCGACAGGGCAGGTATTAGGGTGCCGCTAAATACGTATCGAATAAATTGATCGATGCGAAGCTTCAGATCTAAGGCAGACGTTACTGTGTTAAATGTGAAGTAGTTGATGCTTTGCCACCATCAAAATAGAATCTATTAAAATCTTCGGCTATTTTAGATCTGCCCCTGTAACCTCAGTAAATGTTGAACGGTCAACTTTGTTTTTGAAATGGGTATTTGCGATTATCGGAGATGATTAACCACGGAATACTTAGGACAACTGTTGGTTATTTTCTACAACCGCTTTCCTTTTGAATAAGAAATTATAGTTTTGTTAACTTTCGCTGGTACTTATTTTTACGCACTGTACCTATACAGGGTGAGTCAAAAGTACCGGAACGGCAGGATATCTGGGAATATTTAAGAGGTAGGATACATGTAAAGCACTAGGGGTTTAGGGTTTTTTCCCTGGCTATCCCATGGTGACCTTGAATTTGACCTGGATTATGGCTTTTAAGGTCATATCAACGTCACGGGAATTTTTGTAAATGGGCCCCCACAATTTTGACCCTGGAAATACAGAGAGCTGAAAATTTTACGTTTGGATATGACCTTGAAGGTCAAGATTAAGGTCAAATATCAAAAAGTCCCAAAGTTGTTTCTTCATACTTCGCAGTGGTTTTGCTTAGTTTTACCTGATTGTGTATTTAAAAGTTTGAACACTTCTTCGCAACCATCCTGTATCACAGTAACATTGTTTTTTGTTGCAGAGGAAAGACTTCGATCCTGGATTCTTTCTAATTTTCGTTGCCAAACCCGACAACGCTGACTGCACAGAAGGCAGCTCCTATTTGCCCAGACTCGAGACAAATTTCCATCTCTCCACCCAGAACATTACCACGTCCATTACCTTTAAAATACGACCGACTGTTACCAGAAGGGAATATATAATTGCCACCATCGGGACGTTGGTGACCCTTGGAGCCATTGGTATCATATTAACCATACTCTCTTTAGTACTTAACCGGTTCGGCACCATATCAAAAAGTGACAAAGACGGTAAGCCTTTTATCTTAAATCCTCGCAAATATGTTGGGAATAATGCATGTGACGTAAAGCAAAACAAGACTGACAAAATAAAATAAATACAGTGTGTTGAAAAAATTTAATTGCCATAACTACGGTACATAAAAATAAACAAAATACCTTATATAATGCAAAAGAAAAATTCTAAAACGACTCTAAAAATAATATATGTATTACTCATCACTCACCGAAATTTGAAGTATCTTTTGTCCAACTTAACAGTTCTAAATATTAAGTTGGACAATAGACACTTCAAATTTCGGTGAGTAGAATTTTTCTTTTTCGGGTTTTATGGTAATTGTGACAGGAACATTTTTTTAGAATTATTGTAAATGTATGTTTTTTTTTAATAGTATATTAAACAACAAGGTATGAAAATGACTCTTTGCACACGAGCGAGATATATTGGTGGACCGAGCCGAAGGCGAGGTCCACAAGTCGAGCAAAGAGGTTTACAAACGAGTTTTTTTACGATACTTTTTATACGACTGCAAACAGAGACCACAAAAATCAAATTTTAATTTAAATCGTTTTTATTACTAAAATTGCCAACGCATTAACAAAATTAATTAAATACAACTTTTAATTTAACTCGTTTTTATTAAGAAAATTGTTAACGCATTAACAAAAGAAACTAATATTTAATATTTATGGTAACATTTGAACATTCCTTCAAGGTTACGCTGGGAAAAGCAGTATTATTGTGCACCTTGTTTTCGGTAATAGAGAATATTTTTGGTGTCGTGTTTTTAGTGCAGTTTTTCAGCGTGCGGTCGTTGTTTTCTTGTTGTATTCCAGTAGACGATCGTTGTTCTGGTTCTGTGGCAGCAGAAGACACTGAAGACTCTATCTTTTTCGAAACTTCCATTTTATTTCTCAAACAGTCATCAACGTAGCCTTCGGCAACTGTACTGGATTTCCACCCTCCATGGCGTTTGAGGGCAAGCAGATTTGAGCCAGAATTGACTAAAATTGTGGCCGATGAACGCCGAAAACAATGTCCCGTGTAACTTTCTGGATTCTCTAGCATCAAAAACTTGGCGATTTCCCTAGCCATGTTTCCAATTTTGTTGATGCCAACGTTTTGGCTTGAACATTTTCCGTTTTGATAGTTTAAAAAAAACCTGCCTGTCTTCAGATTAGGAGGACGAAGAGCACAGTACTTTTTTAAGATAGTGTAAAGGTTTCCTGTAATTGTAAAACACCTTGGTACCTTTGTTTTTGTATTCTTCAGTTTAATCAGCATAGCACTGCCGAAATCTTTGGTGTCTTCTATTTTGAGATAACATAATTCCTCCCTTCGACATGCCCCAGATAGTCCAACTGCCACCACCGCCTTGATAAGTAAATATTTGTCGTCTGATGCTTTCGTCAAAAACCGGCAAAAATCATCTTCTGTGAGGATTTGGGACTTCTTTGGGACGTAGTTTTCGGATTTTCGTTTGATTAGCGCTTGCAACTTTTTATAGCTTCCAAGATCTATGTTGTGATTGGCACTTAACGTTGACTTGAGCATCGAAAAAATCGTCCACAACGTCGAAGATTTATATTTCTTAGATAGTTCTTCAAAATACACCATTACTGCGTTTTCTGAGAAAGTTTGGACATTTTTGGCTAGTCGCCAGTCCATAAATCGGCTTAACTCAGCTTCATACCTGCTTCTGGATTTTGTGGGCAGCAGTTCCGAACATATTTCGCTTGCTTTCTGTAAAATCTCTTCAGAATCACACATTTTCACACCCAAACTTCGGGAATTCAACAATTTTTGAAGTATCTAATCAACAAAATAAAGGAGCCGTGACGGTTGCTATGAAACTCAGCCAACTTGAAACATTGCATAATTTGGGTGACAACATCAAACAAAAATCACAATCTGGAGACGCGTGTGCAAAGATGACATAACCGTGTGCAAAATGATTAGCACACGGCGTGTGCAAAATACCGTTTTCAGAGCGTGTTTTCCGTGCGCAAAACCCCCTTTTGCAAGGCAGTCGTATAAAAATTATTTTAATGCCTTAACGAATTTTATTAAAAACATTGCAAAACAGCCCTGAGGATGGTGTAAAATAACACCGAAACGTTGACAATGATTTAAAACATAGTGTTCTTTTATTTATTGATCTTTATTCCACTAAAACCTTGACTTGGATAACTAATCAAGATCGCTAAACAGTGGAAACGTAGTTGTGGTTTTTATCTCGTATTTTATGCATTTCAAAATGTTCTGTATTTGGATTTTCCTTAGCACCTAAATATTTTGTTTTTACATACCTAAGATTATTTGAAAAACATGAGCTTTAGATGTTTTCAATTTTCACAGTCATTGTTTACCGTTCCCGTTACCGTTTATCTTTAGATAGTTCGTCATTAACTCTATAAAAAATCTGATGCAGGCACGTCACCCGTCCTAGAACTAGTTGATTTAACTCGCACTATTGCCAAGTTATGATAAAACTCCCCAATAGCATAACTCATCGAATTTTAATATAACTTTTTGTTAATGTATGCTTAATTCATCTAATACTGAAGCAACGGCAGTCAAACTTCTAATGCACTGTATACTAAAACGACATTTTTTCAGAACCGCCAGTTTACGATTGCTTTGAACCCTTGTCAGAGTTTGCGATCCAAGACCTGTTGAAAAAGGATATATTGACCGTCAATTATCTTGCGAGACAACCGAGGAGGATAAGAAAACGGTCGTACAATTATTTGTCTCACATTTTGAGCATTGCAGTGTTTTATAGTATTCCAGTGGTGCAGTTGGGTGTAACATATCAAAGGGTAAATATATTTTTTTGTTTTCCATCTAATATCCAATGCATATTTGACGTAAAACATGTTTGAATTTCTAAATTTACAGATTCACCATAATAAAGGCTAAAAACACAAGAAGATACAATGTTGTCTGATTACAGCGCGATTTATTACAATTTAACAATTTTTTATTTTAATGGAAGTACTTTATTTAACGATATAAAAACACCTGTAATGAAGCAACTATTACCTTCGCCAAGTGTTGATTCCAACAGGCTAAAAAGTATATTTTTGATTGATGTACCTTAAAAAGAATCTGTTTTGTGTTAGGCGAATTGGACGCAGAGAAATATACTGGGTGTCTAGGGGTGATTCTACATGTTAAACTATGAAGAAAAGTTCATATGAACATAGGTCCGCAAATGCGTCATAAGGTTGCTATGGCGATTCAAAGATTGCACCGGGATATAGGTTTTATTTTATATCTCTGGAACCGTTTCAGATAGCCATCTGAATTTTGGCATATGAATTGCCTTTAATAGTAGGTACTTTTCAGTGTTTTTACTAAATTATTATTTTAATCAGGGGCGTACCGACAGGGGAGGCCTCGATTTAATTTGTTCACATTTTTATTAAACGTCATATTTTTGCAGTTTTCTTTAGAAATTCTGATTCCGCGGTATAAATGACATAAAAAAGGTATTCTTGTAGAAAACCTGTCAGGCTAGCCGTTTTCGAGAAAATACTCTCCAAAGAAAATAGTGCATGCATGGTCGCCCAATAATAAAAATTTCTACATCAAAGTAGGCTTATGTCGGTGCTAAGTTGAAAATGGAAAAAGGTCAAATTACTGTAGTTACGGTAAACGAATTTGACATAAGGTTTAAAAATAAAGTTTATTCGATTATTATTGTGTTAATAACAGTGTAATTGAAAAAAATCATTGTTCTCGTCTTTCAAAAAATGCCGGAATACTCTTTTGCTGAAATGGCCGACATGCACTTCATGTATGGCAAAGCAAACGGTTGTGCTTTGGAAGCTCGGAGGTTGTACCAAGAAACTTTTCCAAATCGCCAGCTTCCTTCTGATAAACTGTTCAGCAGTTTACATCAGAGATTAAGAGAAACTGGTAATTTTACGCCAAATAAGAGAGATTGTGGACGAAACCGTACTACCCGAACGGCGCAGACAGAGGAAATTGTTCTACAACAGATTGAAGCTAATCCAGGTAGTAGCACCAGAAGAATTTCAGTACAAACGAATATTCCCAAAAGTGTTGTATGGGAAATTTTACACGAGGAACTTTTGTATCCATACCATTTGCAAAGAATTCAAGCGCTAAAACCTCGGGATTTTTTGCCTAGAGTGGAGTTTTGTCAGTGGATGCAGATGAAATGCCATCAGGACCGTCATTTCCTCGATAAAGTCTTGTTTACAGACGAGGCAGGATTTACGCGTGAAGGAGTGGTAAATTTTCATAACAATCATATTTGGTCAGATGAAAATCCTCACGCGATTTTCGAAGCTCGATTCCAAGATAAGTTTTCCATTAATGTTTGGGCAGGTATTATAGGAAATAGGTTACTAGGACCATATGTTATGCCGCATCGTTTAGATGGGCCCGCATACTTACATTTTCTACAAAACACTTTACCAGTTTTGCTCGAAGATTTGCCTTATGGATTAAGATTAGAAACATTTTTTATGCACGATGGGGCTCCAGCCCACTTCAGTTTATTAGTTCGACAATATCTAAATCAGACTTATCCAGATCGGTGGATTGGACGAGGTGGACCCGTAGCTTGGCCTCCCCGTTCGCCGGATCTTAATCCGTTAGACTATTTTCTATGGGGTTATTTAAAACACTTAGTTTATTCAGTGCCTGTTGACAGTGTACAACAACTGGAACAAAGAGTCATTCATTGTTGCCAAGAAATACGGAATATGCAAGGTGTTTTTCAACGAGTTAAACGTTCAATGAGAAATCGTTTAGCCAGTTGCATTGAAATGAATGGACATCACTTCCAACACTTGCTGTAACTAAAGAAGTAACATTCAGGTTTAATAATAAGTCACTAGTATTATTTGTTTCTGTATTGTTCCCCTTTTTTTTTTTAATTATAAATCTGTTTTCCATTTACCGTTTCTTTTTTATCACTATTTAACAATACCTGACAGGTTTTCTACAAGAATACCTTTTTTATGTCATTTATACCGCGGAATCAGAATTTCTAAAGAAAACTGCAAAAATATGACGTTTAATAAAAATGTGAACAAATTAAATCGAGGCCTCCCCTGTCGGTACGCCCCTGATTAAAATAATAATTTAGTAAAAACACTGAAAAGTACCTACTATTAAAGGCAATTCATATGCCAAAATTCAGATGGCTATCTGAAACGGTTCCAGAGATATAAAATAAAACCTATATCCCGGTGCAATCTTTGAATCGCCATAGCAACCTTATGACGCATTTGCGGACCTATGTTCATATGAACTTTTCTTCATAGTTTAACATGTAGAATCACCCCTAGAATTATTCGAACTGTATTTCCGGACACCCTGTATATTTTTTGCATATTTCAACAGCATTCACGGAAAATCCTTCTTTTATAATTGTAAATTTTCTTGAAATGCCCGTCTTGGTGTCAGGTATTGAAATAAATAGGTAACTGTCAATGTCCTGTACGTCACTAATTCTCAAATTTGTCAATTCGCAGCATCGACAAGCACTAGAAACCCCCATTATTGCAACCTAAAATAATTCAAAGTTCCAAAAACCCATCTTACCTATTTTAATAGAAACAGCAATTATGTAGCATTTTAAATAAGAAAACAATTTCCGTTACAGATTATCAATGCGTCAGGCAACGAAGACATGTGCTATTTTAACTTTCTCTGCGCCCATCCCGGTCTGGGTTTCAGCGACTTCAATCACATATTCTCCAACATCGGCTACGTCATTTTCGGGATTCTCTTCAACTTCGTTGTCATCGATCGTTATACTATCATAAAAATTAGAAAGGTAGTGCTTCCGCTTCTTACATTTATTCTTAAAACTATAGATCTAAGATATGTGCTTTCAGACCAAAGGCATCCCCGTACATTATGGCCTGTACCACGCCATGGGTGTGGCGTTGATTATCGAAGGGCTGCTATCCGCTTGCTACCACATCTGCCCCAGTCAGTCGAATTATCAGTTCGGTAACGTTTGCAGTACAAACGAAGTGAACATTTCTAATTCTACCATGTTCCAGATACCAGCTTTATGTACATAATGGCGGTTCTCTGTATGGTAAAGTTGTACCAGAACAGGCATCCAGACATAAATGCCTCGGCATATAGTACCTTCACGATTGTAGGAGTTGCCATATTTCTCGGTAAGTGACTTTAAGTGGTATATTCTCCGATTTTCGTTGTCAACAGTAGGTCAACCTTGAAGTCTAGAAGAATAGGTTTTTGTTATAAGAGTACCTAATCTAGAACTGATGGTTGACTGTCATTGCAGGAAAACGAAAAGAAGATAGGAAACCGCGAGAGAGAGAAATGAGAATTAACAAAAGCCGAAATTATGCTCGGTTATGAAGATGTTACAGAAAATATTTATTAACACATACCCCTAACTTTTTGGAAATAACGACGTATCCATAATAAACATAATAAATACATAACATAATTAATAACATAATAAACTAAAAGGTGACTTATTTGTAATAAATGTTCTATGTGTCCCCCATTCTCTTCGACACATTTCCTTGATAGTCCAGTTGGTAGAGGTTCGGCCTGTGTCAAACCTTGATAACCCGGAAATAACGACACAGGCCTACTTTAAATGATGAGTACAATAACAGGCTAATTTGCTGACAATAGTATATTATTCAACGACCGTATAATGATGGGTATTATTCACGAGGTGAAGTTTACGGCCACGAGCCGCAGGCGAGTGGCCTAAATCACCGAGTGGATAATAGCCATTATACGGGAGTAGAATACTATACTTTATCCACGACTACTAAATATTTTTGTTGAAGTTTTTTTTGAAATGTTTCGAAAAACATGGTATGTTAAGAAACAGATATACGACTCGCACAAATGAAGTCGCTGATGGCTCAGTGTAGATGCTCTTTCCCTTCCAACCGCGGGTCCCGGGTTCGAATCCGGTCTAGGAAAATTCACTTTTTTAATTTTTTTTTTAAATGTACAGCACTGAATTGAAAATATTTAGTGGTTTACACGATAAAATTTTA